ATATGGTAGTTTGTATGGTTTATTGTCGCTGTATGGTTTATTGTCGCTGTATGGTAGTTTGTATGGTTTATTGTCGCTGTATGGTAGTTTGTATGGTTTATTGTCGCTGTATGGTTTATTGTCGCTGTATGGTAGTATGTATGGTTGATTGTCGCTGTATGGTAGTTTGTATGGTTTATTGTCACTGTGTGGTAGTTTGTATGGTATATTGTCACTGTGTGGTAGTTTGTATGGTATATTGTCTCTGTGTGGTAGTTTGTATTGTATATTGTCGCTGTATGGTATATTGTCGCTGTATGGTAGTTTGTATGGTTTATTGTCTCTGTATGGTAGTTTGTATGGTTTATTGTCGCTGTATGGTTTATTGTCGCTGTATGGTAGTTTGTATGGTTTATTGTCGCTGTATGGTAGTTTGTATGGTTTATTGTCGCTGTATGGTAGTTTGTATGGTTTATTGTCGCTGTATGGTAGTATGTATGGTTGATTGTCGCTGTATGGTAGTTTGTATGGTTTATTGTCACTGTGTGGTAGTTTGTATGGTATATTGTCACTGTGTGGTAGTTTGTATGGTATATTGTCTCTGTGTGGTAGTTTGTATTGTATATTGTCGCTGTATGGTATATTGTCGCTGTATGGTAGTTTGTATGGTTTATTGTCGCTGTATGGTTTATTGTCGCTGTATGGTAGTTTGTATGGTATATTGTCGCGGTATGGTAGTTTGTATGGTTGATTGTCTCTCTGTGGTAGTTGGTAAGGTTGATTGCCCCCCCCCCCCTACCACCAAAAAAATAAATGAAATGAAACTCAGTAGATTTAGTTATTGCCAACTTAGTACACAAAATCATACACAAAGTTCACAGATAACGCACCTGTTTGACACTCCCACAGCGACCGAAATAAATTATATTTGTTTATGAAGCGTCCCTAGTCTATATGAACTGACAATAAACTTTATTATACTTTAAAGCGCGATATGAACTAACACAATACACACTGACGATCTACTACAGTGCAACTTTCCAAAAACGCATCCTTCTCAAACCCGATTACCTCTGGAAACCGAACGTAGTTATCTCTTGGCAATCTGTGGTAGTTTAATTGTCTCTTATCGATGGTTGTTTTTACTATGACTTGGCAATATGGTAATTTATTTTCTTTATTTACGATATACAGTGGAACTTCTGCAAACCGATCACACATGGCACATAAACATTTTGCCGGTGTATAGATAGTTTAGTGTGTAGAAGAGATGCAAGTTGGCCGGCGCTGTCCCGGATATTATTGAACCAATTCCGTCCTGAACATTACATTAACAAGTCCGTTCGCTTCGGCATCTACACAGCACATGCCCGACTGAATACATAAAAATGCTTCATAGAGTCAAAATATTTCGGTACAAAAAACAGAGATACTTCTATGCGAATTAAGTCAAAAAGAAATCCGCGTGTTGTCTGGCGATCTCGAAAGTAATGATACAAACGCCGTGATGAAGCTCCTCTCGGATGGTCGGTTTTCAGATGGAGTTTTCAGTTTTCAGTATACTTGTATTTTAATCATTTCGGACACTAAATCGGTTTGGTATCCGGAATTGGGAGGGATCGGTATTGGGAATTTTTTTATTACTACAATAGACAGGAAGTTATGCCGTGCATCACCAGTTCGTTCGGTTTCTAGAGGTGATCGGTTCAGAGAAGGATGCGTTTTTGAGAAGTTGCACTGTAGTAGATCAATGTGTGTTGTTCATATCGAGCTTTAGAGTTTTCAGTAAAGTGTAAAGTTTATTGTCAGTTCATATAGTTTATGGCTTCGTAAACAAATATAATTTATTACTGTCGCCAGGGGAGTGTCAACAGGTGCGTTATCTGTGAACTTTGTGAATTATTTGGTCTACTAAGTTGATAATAACTTGATTTACTGACTTTCCTTCCTATGCTTTTGTGGGGGATTGGGGCATGACTTTTTTATATACATTGGTAAGTATAAGGCCTTGGTATGGACGAAGTTACATTTTGGCCTAATTATGGTATTTGTACCATTGCATCCTTCCGATAGAGGTCGCTTGAGAGGAGTACTTACCAAACATAGACGATAAATCGTGTCATGGCGGTGTAGATGTAATTATGCCACTGTCATAAGTCATGTGTTATTATCCACAAAGCCTCATTATTTTGTGTCAGCATACTTGTGTCATATCTCCGAAAAAGACTTTTCATCAGCAACAAGGAGTTGACTCAGGTATGTATGCATGTGTATGGACCGTGGAATCGTGATATATGACAAAAACCTGAGTTAACATAGGGACCCTAGGGTCGGGATTTAAGACAAAAACCTGAGTTAACATAGGGACCCTGAGGTCGGGATTTATGACAGAACCCTGAGTTAACATAGGGACCCTAGTGTCGGGATTTGTGAAAAAATTTTATTAACATACAGACTGTGGGGTCGGGATTTATGACAGAACGCTGTGTTAAGATAGGGACCCTGGGGTCGGGATTTGTACCTGCATAATTACGAACCCGGAGGGTAGGGACAAGTGGCACGTCCTCTTGCTCTTTAAGTTTTATAAACAGGCCTTGGGGCTATTTTTACATGCATTTATGTTAAATACACTACATACGGGATGGAGGACATGATGATGGTTCATCACAGGAACAGGAGGATGTCGCTGTTTTCCTGTATATTAATTAGGTGTTTTACTGTAAATAAGATTTGTTATAATATAATTCTATTTATAATGAGTGTTTATTTAAATATGTGTAAAAACAAACACACGGGATATAAGCTTTTCATACATATACTTCGATTTGTAATATTAACACTAGCTGGTAAAATAGTTAGTATTATTAAAAAAAGAACCTGTTCGTTGTAAGCGTCGACCCTCTATGATTGCTATGCTGGTTATATGTGCAGGTGTTTTGCTTATCGGATACGACATCGCGTGCATGTGTGTTTCATTATCTATTTATTACGCGCGTGCATTACGTAAGAACTCGTTAGGGAATATTCTTTATATCACAGAATATTGTATTAACACGACATAAATATACACCCTGTCAAGGTGTTTGGTGGATAAGTATGAGATTATGACATAGAGTAAGATGTTGTCTATATCGTTTTTTTTCTTTTCTTTTACATAATTAAGCAGCTGTCAGCGGATTGTGTGGATAATTACATAATACACATGGTCAGTAACTGGGGCGATATATAAAATAATGCATATGCTCAAAATATTGGAGAATTTTATCGCGAAAAATATGCATCTCAAAATTAAGAACTCCGGTAGATAATTATTCATGTTCATTATGAGAAGCTTTTTAAAATTGTTTCTTGATAAGAATTACATAATCTTTTGTGTAAAGAAGCGAAACAGACGGGTTTACTTAAGAATCTCAATAATGCGTTCTGCAGGGATGTGTTTCACGTACGTACATTTGATTTAATTCTACTGAGTTAAAGTTACAAGTGTAGGAACAATTCACCTACCCTCTCGTAATCAAAATAATAACGAGAATTCCATTATTCATCAATTCTCCTCTCACCATCAAACATATAACAAAAACATAAACTCGAGAACTTTCAGAAACGTCTATACAGAAAGATCCTGCGTGATAAAGCTCTATAACTCTGTGCAAAACCACACACACCCCTTCCATCCCGTCCCTAAAGACTACTTCGCTATCACGCAGCTATTGTTGAAAGAGTATATGCTAGTTTATAAAATCACTTTCGCAGAAATAAAACGGGAAGCAACATGTTGAAGATAGCGTTTACCAAACTGCGTTATATATGATTACTTTCACATAATTTCTTGACACCATTGCAGTTTTGCTGTTGACGTCACAACACACACGTAGGAATGATATTTTTGTCACGTAAAATCAAAGTAATATTAGAATGAATCAATATCGCAATCCGTTATTTTTACGACCAGAATACCGATATGCTGATTTGGTTGTTGCTTTTGTTTAATCGTCCCATCAACAGCTAGTGTCATTCTGAGGTGGGGGTATTCTTGTAGTTGCTGTTTCCTACCTCAAGGAACATCATGCGGGAGGTCGTACCACCACATATCATCCACAGCAACAGGAGTTGTTGATCTCAGTTTGATAATCAATACAAATCCCCCTGTAACCACAATGGCTCTAAAAACATTGTAACTCATGCTAGAAGAATAAGGGGAGAGTTTTGGATTGAGAAAGCCTATATATTTCTTTTATGACATTTTACTCCCGATTCGCAAAAGCGTCCACATTGGTCCCCTCTTAGATCACGCTTTCTCCCGAATCCATCAGAGGATTTCCTCATGGAAAGACAAATCATGAAAATCGTAACAGAATATTTCTGAGTTCAAATGTATTTGTTACTGGAGTGTTTAATTGTGTATTAATGATTTTTTTTCTCGACTTGTTTTATTGGGTTATGGAGTGTTACAAAAAAACCTCTGTTTTTTCCTCGAGAAAGTAACATACTTTCGGTCTTTTGTTCTGCTGACTTGGTATCTTGGGACCAAATAACGACCATCTGATGCCTGTGATGATTAATCTGATCAGAAACAACTGTGTAAAACACGAAAAGATGTTTTGGAATCCATGATAAAGGAAACAATGCTTTGAAGAATTAAGGTGCATAGAAGTGTGATATAAACATTTATGCGTATTATGTAAATGTCTGGGTAAACACTCAATCTTTATGACACGTTTGACCTTTATGAATATGTAATAAATTCGTGAATAATAATATATAATTTATTAGATACAAAACCAAGCAATAAAAACCAAAGTTATAAGATAATACAACAAAAAAGGTGTACACGCCAGTAGGTATCGACAGGTGCGTACATGTAGATGATGTTTTGTTAATTAAGTTTAAACACAGTACATGATATACCTACAAATAACATATAAACGGTACATCTGAGATTGAAAAAATCAGTTAAAAAGGTTAGACTATAAGTCCCTTTCTCAAGTATACGTCTAAAGGTTAATCGGGACTGGAAACACTTAACTAAAACAACCTTCACCGCCGCCAAAACCATCACCGCCCCCACAACCACCACCGCCGCCACAACCACCACCGCCCCCACAACCAAACCACTGCCCCACAACCACCATCGCCGCCATACCCACCACCGCCCAAACAACCACCACCGCTCCCACATCCACACCACCGTCCCCACAACCAACACCGCCGCCATAACCACAACCGCCAACACAACCACCACCGCCCCCACAACCACCACCGCCGCCACAAAAACCACCGCCCCCCAACCACACCACCGCCACCACAACCACCACCACCCCCACACCCACACCATCGCCTTCACACCCACAACCACCACCGCCCCCACAACCACACCACCGCCCCCACAACCACACCATCGCCCCAACAACCACCACCACCCCTACAACCACCACCGCCCCCACAACCACCCCTACAATCACCATCGCCTCCACAACCACCACCGCCCCCACAACAACCACCGCCGCCACAACCACCACCGTCCTCCAACCACCACCGCCCTCACAGCCACCGCCGCCACAACCATACCACCGCCCCCACAACCAAACCATAGCCCCTACAATCACCACCGCCGCCACAACCACCACCGTCCCCACAACCACCACCGCCCCAACGACCACCACCGCCCCCACAACCACCAAACCACCGCCCTCACAATCACCACCGCCCCCACAACCAAACCACCGCCCCCACAACCAAACCATCGCCCAAACAACCCTACCACCGTTCCCGCAACCACCACCGCCACCATAACCACAACCGCCCTCACAACCACCACCGCCCCCACAACCAAACCAACTCCCCCACAACCCCACCACCGTCCCCACAACCACCACCGCCCCAACGACGACCAACGCCGCCACATCCACCACCGCCCTCACAACCACCACCGCCCCCACAACCAAACAACCGCCCCCACAACCACCATCGCCGCCATACCCACCAAGTTCAAACAACCACCACCGCTCCCACATCCACACCACCGCCCCAACAATCAAATCATCGCCCCCACATCCCCACCACCGTCCCCACAACCACCACCGCCGCCACAACCACCACCGACCCCACAACCACCACCGCCCAAAAAACCACAACCGCCCCCACATCCACACCACCATCCCCACAACCACCACCGCCCCCACAACCAAACCACTGCCCCACAACCACCATCGCCGCCATACCCACCACCGCCCAAACAACCACCACCGCTCCCACATCCACACCACCGTCCCCACAACCAACACCGCCGCCATAACCACAACCGCCAACACAACCACCACCGACCCCACGACCACCACCGCCGCCACAACCACCACCGCCCTCACAACCACCACCGCCTCCACAACCAAACCACCGCCCCCACAACCACCACCGCACCGCCCCAAAACCACCACCGCCCCCCACAACCACCACCTCTGCCACAACCACCACAACCCCACAACCACCACCGCCCAAACAACCACCAACGCCCCCACATCCACCACCGCCCCACAACCACCACCGCCCCCACAACCACCATCGCCGCCATACCCACCACCGCCCAAACAACCACCACCGCTCCCACATCCACACCACCGCCTCCCACAACCACCACCGCTGCCACAACCACCATCGACCCCACAACCACCACCGCCCAAACAACCACCACCGCCCCCACAACCACACCACCGCCCCCACAACCCCACCACCGTCCCCGCAACCACCACCGCCGCCACAACCACCACCACCCTCACAACCAAACCATCGCCCCCAACCACCACCGCACCGCCCCCACAACCAAACCACCGCCCTACCAACCCCACCACCGTCACCACAACCAACACCACTATTACACACAAAAACAGCAGCAGCAACAACCAAAACGACAAACTTATAACAGTAGAGCGGGATGATAACACACTGCTCGAGAGAATTATCAGCTAGGATAATTATTATACCTCATTTTATATGTAAAGAAGTGGTAGGGCTTGGATTGAGAGCTGTAGAAAACAATGCTTAACATCATTTGTAAACCAAACAAAACATGGACATCCATGCAAATTGCTTCAGACGATACATGAGCGACATTGTAAACATTCAGCATTATTTGTACTTTTAACAGTTGGCTATAAATATATTTATATTTTTAGATACATAAATACACATAGCCATGTTGATATCTGGAATTATTTACATTTTTGATCACGTGACAATAATATGGCGTCATTTTGAGTAATATTATGATTGTTTATCAACAGTTATATACAATAGAGAATCGTTTGACAGGAGATTGAAACCTGAATATGTTCATGAAGGGCCCAAAATATCGTGAAATCCTTTCTATGAATTGGAATGTGAAATTCAAGGTACGTGGGTGTTCCGTTGACAGATATGCCAGTGAAACGAGAGCATGATGTGTTGGATTCACATCTGGAATTGAAAAAATCCAAAATGACAAAAATCTGTATTTCTTGATCCTGGTGTCAGAACCTTCGGTATTACGTTCATGTTGCTTATAATTATAAGAAAACGGGTATCCCTCGGTTATGTTGGATTCCGAAACCTTCAGAGAAACCGTATACTTTTTCTTTATTGCTGGTTCATCTAGCTGTCCAACAAAGCCTTTGTCACTAAGCTTCTCATCGCCATTCTTAGTTATATCAAATTTATTTACGGTCTCACTGTGATTAGTTTTATTCAAGAACTGAATCTTAAAGAACCCCAAAGAAATTTGACAAATCCTAAATACACAAAACATCTCTGAAATAAGAACTTTTCAGCTTATTATACTATCTTACTTCATTCCAAACTGAAGGCAGGCATTCGTTCTCTTCTATGTGAGTTTTTTTATTTAAAGAAATACACACAGTAAACACATTAATTGTGAACTACGCTGAATAGCATACAGAGGAGAACAAAATCGGGAAAAAGAGAATTTCTGGCTGATAGCTTTATGTGAGACCTTCCAAAAAACTATTAGCATTCCTATGGAAACAAATTTAACCCTCTCGTGATTGACTTCTTTTTGTGTCTAAAAATCCTTTTTGAAACTGTTGAGATTTGTAAAAATTCTACATTACCTGACAGATGTTGGTCTATATAATAGGCTATGACGTACCACTTTAATCTTTTGTGATAATATACATATTTCTGATTTTTGGCATTTGTCTTTTACCTTTTAGTTTGTTTGATGTTATTTTCTTTTGGATCGAAGTGTGTTTTACCGATTGATGGCCTTGATGACGTTTTATGTGTCGACGGGCCGTTAAGAATGTCATAATAGTAATAATAATAATAGTAATAATAATGATAAGAACCTATTGAAACATGTCACAGAGACCTTTCCAAGTCCCTCTATTTCACTACTGTTACCATATCATACCGTATTAACCATATACAACATATACACTCACCTGAACTTGGAATCAAGGATATGACAGACAACGACTCCAACATTCAATTCAATTTTTTATTAATTAAACCTTGTGGTTCATCAATTAAAAATGATATACAACATACACAGGTGTGAACAACAATGGAGTGCAAACTGTCTCGTCCAACACACACACTATCTATTAGCATAGTGTAATCCTACTTATCATCCACGTCCAATGAAATCATTTCTTTTCTTGTTACTAATTATGATGGATTCTGATCATTCTTTTTTGTTTGCAGATTTCGTAAGTTGGATAGAATTTTAAAATACCGCGTCTGTTGCAATGTATTTCTTAATTAAACGTTTCCTTAAATCTGCACATCTTCCACATTTAACTATAAAGTGAAATGCATCTCCTATGTCACCACTGTTACATAAAACGCAAATTCTATTATTCTTTTCTATGTTATTATACCTTCCATTTTCAATATACAATTTTCGAGATGACATTCAAAATTAAAATTCCCTGTAGATTTTGTAAAATAATTTTGAAAATTGAAGTCCTCGCTGATATATTTTTCAAAGAACAGTTGGAAGATGAAATTGTCTTTTCACTCCATTCTTGTTTAAAGAACAATCTAGTTTTTATAATGTTTATGATATAATCAGGTGTAAAAGTATCTTCCTTTTGCCAAATGTACTTCACACCCAATCTAAAATGTTCATCTATCACACCATACAGCCATTCGCTCCGTTTTCTAACATATCTTGGTAAAAGGCTTGTAAAATACAGGTGTCAGAATGCCTTAATTTTATCCAAAACTTAAATACACGGACTCTTCTGCTAATTTCAAAGGAATTCTGCCTAGATCTTGATTGACCATAACATTTGCAGTAGATTTCTTTACCCCTAATAATCTTTTACAATATCTTAAATGTAGTTTCTCAATATCTGGTGCTTTATGAAAACCCTAGATTCCAGCCCCATAATTTCATACACTACAAACATATCTGTTAAAAACGTCAAGTTGTGTTTGGAAATTGAAGTAATTTTCTTCACAGACATTAGAAACAGATAACAATGTTTTTCTACTTTATATAACTATTTTTTGTTGTGTTTTATTAATTCTACGGTTAAAATAAATTAATACTTCCAAGTAATTAAAGTCAACATTTTCTAAAACACGCCCATTAAAATACCATTTATCTTCCTCTTGTAACCTACCACCATTTCGAAATACCATCACTTTTACTTTTGACGCATTTACTGTAAGATTCCATTTATTTGTACACAATGATAATGGAATCCCTCAGCTGTTTCTGCCAAAAGTACCATGTCTGGATAAACCAATAAAAATAAATCTACAGCTTGTAGTTCAATAGATGGACACTCATCTTTGTCAAATCTTTATCTGTTTGTACCATAGATTCAGTCTGTTGCTGAAGTCAAACGCCTTTCTATAATCAATAAAACAGTAGTATGATGGACATCATTCCGCCAAGCTGTTTTTTCATTTCTATGTATCAACACTCTTGCTTCTCTTACCAAGGGTGTTTTTTACATGTCGCAGTAGATTCGACATTTAAGGTTTTGTTCCCTGGGGGGAGGGGGTGGAGGGGTGAGGGGTACAGTCATTCAAATGTTCTTATTCTTTTTCCTTGTGTGTATGAAGCTGGACATGTTTGATGTTTATTAGTTCGCCTTAAGTTTCGTGGATGTTTACCTTGTTTTAATTTCGGAACGCATCAATTCTCACGAGGATTGATCAAGAATGGGTGTTATCGATTGAGCAGAAGACTCTTATCATTCCGGAACGCTTGGTCGTATTCTCTTTGTTTTTTCATGCGTTTTTTGTTCATGTTTTCCCTAGTTTTATTGAAATTGAGGATTCTGTTGACATGTTGTCCCCATCCCATCCCTCGTTCCCATCTCTCCTCCTCATCCCCATCCCATCCCCTTGTTCCCATATATCCTCCTCATCCCCATCCCACCCCTCGTTTCCATCTCTCATCCTCATCCCCATCCAATCTCCACGTTCCCATTTCTCCTCCTAATCCCAATCACTCATTCTCGCCCCCATCTCTCCCCCTTATCCTCGTCTCTTCTCCTCGTTCCCATATCTCCGCCTCGTTCCCAGCTAACTTCCTTGCCCCCAACTAACTTCCTCGTCCCCATCTCTCCACCTTATCCTCGTCTCTTTTCCTCGTTCCCATATCTCCGCCTCGTCCCCAGCTAACTTCCTTGCCCCCAACTAACTTCCTCGTCCCCATCTCTCCACCTCATTCCCATCCCACTCTCCTCGTTCCCATTTCTCCTCCTAATCCCCCATCTCACCTCCTCGTCCCCATCTCATATTCACGTCTCCATCTTTCCGCTTCGCCCCATCTCTCCTCCTTATCCTCAACTTTACTCCTCGCTCCCGTCTCTCCTTCGCGTCCTAATCTCTCCTCCACTTCTCCATCTCATCTCCACGTTCCCATCTCTCCGCCTCGCCCCCATCTCTCTGTCTCGTTCCCATTTCACCTCCTCGTCCTCATCTCCATCTCATCTTCACGTCTCCATCTCTCCGCCTCGCCCCCATCTCTCCGCATCATTCACATTTCACCTCCTCTTCCTCATTTCACCTCGCCCTCGTCTCTCCTGTGTGTAATCTATTATTATGTCTTTATCTTGTGTTTGACTTGTGCCCAGGATGTTTGACTTGTGTCCAAGATGTTTGACTTGTGTCCAAGGTGTTTGACTTGTGTCCAATTCTTTTGTTTAAAACTTCGCCTTGACGCCAAGTTCGTTTAATTTACGTCATTTTTTCATCTAGACGAATATAAGACACATTACTTACAACTATTTACAATCACCTAGAATTCGGCGTCTTCAATGAATGTGATCGACGTTGTTTAAAGTGTGAACGTCAAGTACAGTATACATTGACCCTACTTAACCTCGTGGTTTACACTTGGCGGTTTGTGTGGTTTACACTTGGCGGTTTGTGTGGTTTACACCTGGCGGTTTGTGTGGTTTCACTTGGCGGTTTGTGTGGTTTACACTTGGCGGTTTGTGTGGTTACACTTGGCGGTTTGTGTGGTTTGTGTGGTTTACACATGGCGGTTTGTGTGGTTTACACTTGGCGGTTTGTGTTGTTTACTCTTTGCGGTTTGTGTAGTTTACACTTGGCGGTTTGTGTGGTTACACTTAGCGGTTTGTGTAGTTTACACTTGGCGGTTTGTGTGGTTACACTTGGCGGTTTGTGTAGTTTACACTTGGCGGTTTGTGTGGTTACACTTAGCGGTTTGTGTGGTTTACACTTGGCGGTTTGTGTAGTTTAAACTTAGCGGTTTGTGTAGTTTACACTTGGCGGTTTGTGTAGTTTACACTTGGCGGTTTGTGTAGTTTACACTTGGCGGTGTGTGGTTTACACTTGGCAGATTGTGTAGTTTACACTTGGCGGTTTGTGTGGTTTACACTTGGCGGTTTGTGTAGTTTACACTTGGCGGTTTGTGTGGTTTACACCTGGCGGTTTGTGTAGTTTACACTTGGCGGTTTGTGTGGTTTACACTTGGCGGTTTGTGT